TCCAGGAAACAAACTACAAACAAGACAGACCTAAATCGGTTGAAGCGTGGAGCATCACTGGGATTAATTACTGAATTTTCTTTTTGAAAAGGTAATCACATTGCTGTAAGGTAGGTAACAAATTACCATCAGACACTGCAGTGTTCACTATTTTGCCAGTCTCTATGTGTTGCTTTGTTGCTCTGTCTTTTGTGTGCCAGATCAAGTTCAAGATTTGACTGAGAAAAGATTGTTTGACTCTACATCTGCCTCATGAGCCTGCATTTGGGTCCATCTTGAGCTTGTTGAACCGTGACACTGTCTTTTTCTGGTTTGTGCTACAGTGGCTGCGTGAAATTTTGTCACTTAAATCACTACAGAGCGTGGAGCACCACTACTCCGTGAGCTAAGTGCCACTTATCCCTACAAACCCAGAGGATCACCACCATCCTCACCAGTCAAATCCACAAAGCAAATAAAACATGCCATTTCACCACTCACATGCAGTTACATTTTTATACAACTGCTATCAAATGTTTGGTTATAATGGTCCATTTTTAGCATTTCCTAGCATTCCTATTACACACATGTACTTGGTTTGTAGCTTGCAGTTCACATTCACATCACATTAGAAGAAAGCAGAAGTATAGATTTCTCATTGTGACAGCTTGAAAGCATTCTTGTGTTTTACTCAACTGAGCACCCACATCAAAAATAGTTTTTATATATGAATTTAAGTATGAATTCAAAATGAGCTAGATATGTTTCAGTTACTGTGGCTGAGATTGAACACGACAGATGGCTGTGACTTTACTTAGACTGCCAACATTTGTTGATTCCTTATCCAGCAGTTATTCATTATTTCTGATGAAACCTTGGTTTGTCAAGCTGTAATGGAAAACAGTAGTAGTCTAGACCTGAGGCCACTGGGTTTTGTGTCTCTGAAGCCATTCTATAGTAGATTTACTTCAATGTTCTGAGCTTCAGCCACCCTGACATCATCCTGTAGGATACCTTGATAAACTTGGGAATTCATTTTTCCCTCCACAGTGGCAAGTGGTCCAGGTCCAGAGGCAACAGAGCAGCCCCAAATCATGATGCTCCCTCCACTGTGCTTCATGATGCTTTCATGCTGGTATGCGGTTCTGTTTTTCCACCATAAGTAGGGCTGTGTGTTCTTCCCAAACAATTCTACCTTTGTTTCATTTGTCCACAGGACATTTTCACAGTAGTGTTGTGGAGTGCGAAGGTTGTCTTTGGCAAAATTCAGGTGTGATGAAACTTGTTTTTGGAGAGCAGTGGCTTCCTCTGTCATGTCCTGTCCTGGATACTGTGCCCCTTCAATATTTTATGTATGGCTGATTCATGAACGGACATGTTAACCAACTCCAGTGAATCCTTTAAGTTTTTAGCTGTTACTCTAGGGTTCCTTTTTACTTCATTGAGCACTGTGACCAGTACAGTAGTTATACATAAATGCAATACAGTTTTGTCAGGCTAGATAGAGTTTAATAAAGGTGTGTGATGATGGGAAATTTTTGTGATGACATGGAGGCTGTGCAGTGCTCATTAGTTTGTAAGATAATGTGTTCCCTGGGAGGTATGGCATCTGCCTACTGCATTGCTAAGTGAAATGCTGACAGCTATGACGTCCAATCACTGTTTGAAAGTGTAACTCATTGCTACGACACTGTGTCATAAAAAGGAGGCCATGCTTGCTAGTCTCAGTGCAACAAGCTTCACATCATGACAGCCAGCTGCACCGATCTCCTGCATGAAAGGGGTGGGTGGCAGGGTCTGTTCAAAGAGGGGAAAATGAGAATGAGTGCTAAGATGCGCTGGGAATAGTAGTGAAGAATGGCAGAGTGGAGTTTGAAGTGTTACATGCTGCAGGGGGGGAAAACTGGAATGGAAAGGAAAACAAAGGACAGAAGAGAAGACTGATTAAATCAGAAGTTATCATGGCAGAGAAAACAGATGGATGAGAAGAAATCTGTTACGACAAATAACTGAATTATTATATAATTTGTGTGATGTTATGTGAATCATTGCTTCATAGTTTTAGTTGCTTGTGTCTTATAGCAGATGTTTATTGAAAATTGTGCTGACCACAGTGTGTGAAAGGTGACAGGGAACAGGAGCACAGCATGAGACCTTCAATTCCTGATAATAGAACAGGCTGTGACTTGGAGAGAATAGAGAAGTAGCTATAACTGTTTCTGCAACCACCTGCAGTAGTTTACACAAGATATGTGGAATATTATAAATGTTGTGAGAGCCTATTTTCTTGGTCAGACTCTGATAGCGCTATATGGGAGTTCAGACCTCTGGCCTCTCTGTACTTACAGACACTCTGTACTTATTTTTTTTACTTAGTCTTATCCTTACTTTATAATTAAATCACAAAAGATATCACTGGTGTAAGTTCATTTTATTCTTTCTCACCTACATGTGTGGAATGGACAGTAATAACAAATAATCTCCACCACAGTCTGAAGTTTGAACAGTCTGACAATAATCTCATTTAAAACAAACTCTATTTGAAATAAATATTCTGTCTATATTCATTTTCAAGTTGCAACAAGGCCAGGACCAGCACATCATGACAAACACTTTGTCCAATCACAGGCCTAAGCTGGGATTCAAAAGGAGCTGATTCTGGTAAAAAACACATCATAGGCAAATCTTACCCAAACCAAGCAAATACATTGTGTTTTCCTAAATGCCCTAAGCAGTGATGTATCACTTCACACAGTGACACTGTGATGTTTACCTTTTCAGTACCAAAAGAAAATGACAATAGTTTTCAGAATCACAACCACCTACTCCTACATGATTCAACTGTGACACTGTTTCAGAAAAAAAGTGCCTATACTAGACATATTCTGCATTTATCTTTTACAGCTTGCACTTGACATGTGACTTTCAAGGAGAACGTCTTTGTCTAAAGTCAGCACAGTGATTCTGACAAGCTGAGTCTCTGACTGTGTGGTCTATCATCTTTTCCTGCATCACAGGAAAGTGGGTGGTTGACTTGTCTGAATGCTTACAAAACAGCATGGGGTCCCCAGCAATAGTATACCCTTGGGTGCTTTGCAGACTCCCTCCCTAGTTTCAACAGGTTCCATGCTGAGCTCATCCAGTCAATTCAAATACCGGCCACTGTTTTGACATCAAGAATGCAACTCTTTCTGTTGACTGAATGTTTTTTAAGACTTTAATTCCCCAGTTTGCTGGATGTGTCACACGTAGAGTCAAACCATTATTCTGTGCTGATGAATTTGCAGTATCATCACAATTCAAAGGACCTACTGTAGACAGGCAAACTTATTTGCAGCTGCCCTCAAGAAAAACTTCTGTCTGTATAATAACATTTCCCCTCATCTTCCTTCCTTTATGCAAGCATAACATTCTCTATTTGCATATTGTTCAAACATGTTGTTGTCCTGTGCAGCAGTTGTGTTATCACATACTGCACATTGCATACAGGTGGTGTAATAATGCATCTACTTGATGAATAAAAGTTTGCTGGTAGGGTCATTAAATTCTTCATCATAATGGCTGAACACATACAGCCAAAGAGATTCAACGTCAGACCTGCTCTCATTCAAAGCCAGCCGAGGATTTCACTGCAAATTGATGTGGTCCCTTTTACAGTGTCCCTGCCAGAGTACTGATAGAGCACCAATAAATCAAGGCATTCACAAGGAGGAATGGGAAAGACTTTGCAGTAAATCCCACGGGGATCATAAATGTACAGCATATAAATGCGTTTGTCTGCACTACTTGTCTTTCTCTGCTTCATGCTATCAGTCTTATGGTTGCTTTCTTTAGTTGCTCTTTCTTTTCCGCATCTTCTTTTTGAGTTCAGATACTTCCATGTCAACATTGATCCTTTCATTACATCAGCTGTACCAGTGATGATTTGTCACTTTAAATGTTCATTGTCTTTCTGGATGATTGTGCCACAGCTGTGATGGAATTCATCAACTGTGTGTATTTTCTTAAAATAGAAATGATGAGACGCACACTTTAGAGGTTCATTGTCAGAATTTCTCGTTTGTTTCATGTTGGTTGTTTGGTACTGTGAATACATATGTCTGAATCACCTTTACTTATAATTCTACATGTTACACATTTCCAAATTTCCACCCACTGACAAAAAAGCAGATAAGCTGAGGTTCCACAAAATTGTCTTGGGTGAACCGTTGTTTAGACAAAGATGACAAAGTGCTTAGATCCCACCTCCCAAAACTCCATTTTAGTGCAGTACTTAGCAATGTTGTATTTGCAATTTGTGTAAAGATGCAGTTTTAAACACAAGTCTTTTAAAAACACATTTGAAATATTTACACCGGTGACTGCAGTGACTTATCGCCAAGTGACATCAAAGACTGGTAGATGAGTTTCATATGGCCAGGATGAATTATCGGGACATGTAAAGCCATTCTCATGTGTCATGATAGCTGAGCCTTGAATGGATTTAGCTGAAAAACCAATGCAGCTCTTTCATTTCTCTATTTTGATATAAATAAATTGTCTCTTTAGGTCACAGTGCTCCCCTGAGTGACATCTCTATGGCAAGGGCCTGTGCCTGCTAAAATATTCCAGACAGTTTTAGCACCTCCAGTCTTCCACTGTGAATCACTATAGTCAGCATTTACCAGAACGTCCTGCTGTGGGGCCAGCTGCCAAGTACATTTATCTCTATATCAATGATATTTTGTGCTCCTATTAGTGTTAAATGCATATGCTTTGGTACTCACCACACTACCTGGGGATGTAACAATCTCACTGCTGCAATATTTAAAGATGTTACAGGACATATTGCTGCTGTCAAATGAGATTCTTGTACCCAAATCTGCTTTGGTGGTGTGGTACTTGTGTTGACCAGCAGGTGGAGAAGTTTAATAGACGTTTTCATCCTCCAGCCCCCACCCCTGTCCCTCCTCTGCCTGTCTCATGCTGCCCCTGATGAAAGGAATTCCTGCACAAACATCAATGCACTCTACAGACGGAGAACATATGTTGAAGACATAGCAGAGAGTAGAGTAACAAAGCTCTCAGCCTGGACCTATTCTCTCACTGGATTATTTTATGAGTGTGAAAGTGCGTTTGAAGTGTAAATGTGACTGAAATTGCTTGTAGACATGGATACATCCTGTGCTGTGAAAGCTCTTCTCCTGGCCCTCTTACTCTGTCTTCATCTACACTGCCACCTCCTTGTTTGGGCCAGAATGGACTCCTGCTATGATGAGGAAGGAGCCCCATTTCGTTGCATGCCCAAGTTTGAGAACATTGCCTTCAGTCGCACAGTGGAGGTATCAAATACGTGCGGTTCCCCACCTGAGGACTACTGCATGCAGACAGGCTCAACACGCTCATGTCACTACTGTGATGCATCAGACCCAGACCTGAGTCATAATGCCAGGCTCCTGACAGACTTCAACAGGAATGAGGAGCCCACATGGTGGCAGAGCCAGTCCATGTACTATGGTATCCAGCACCCCAATTCTGTCAACCTCACCCTCCACCTGGGTAAGAGAACAGCATCCTCAGCTCAGTCTCACACTCAGAATTCTTCACTTTGCTTTGACTTTGCTCAACTTGGAGTGTAGTTTGTGGTCAGGCTGAGTGATCTCGGTCAAGTATGTGTGTGCTCAGAGTTCACTTATGGTCTCTGTTCCCATAATGCTGCGTCCTAGTTCACTTTAAAGTGCTTGAAAGCTGTTTCATGTGCCCTGTATTTGTTGTGTCCAGAGACAGAATGTGAACTTCAGTAACAGATCTAGTTCTCTGCTGAATGCAGACAGTTTGTCATGTTAAGACCCTGGTGATCAGATTCCACAGCCATACATGTTACTTTCCTCACACTAGCTGAATAAAAGTGTCGTTACATCTTCACTTTTATTTTCTGTGTGACAAATATCTGGATACATTATTATGTGTCTTGCAAGTCCTTTGACTGGAGCATATTTAATTCAAAACAAATCAACCCAAGTTAAGAAGACTTCAGCACATGATTTGTATTATTCAGCCGCAGCTTTGCGGTGTCCTCATATAAAAACAGTTGGGCCCAGACCTGGCTTAAACTTGGAGTAACCTTTGTGTGAGTGCATAGCCAGAAGGGCATATCTGAGAATTTGGTTGGATTTAAAATGGATAAGAAGGACACAGAGTTGCATCTGACATGCCTGGATAGCAAATGAGTGATGGCCCAGTGTTGGCCCACAGTGCTTTAATCCAGCCCACATGCTGCCATGGAGTAAAACTGGCTGCCATAATACAGTCACAACATGAGCCGATGGGGCTTTTTTTAGGCATGGTTTGGACCCGAACTTGACACATTGCCTTTATAGAAACATGTCTCCAGTATGATTTGTGTCAGAATCTGCCCACAAATCAACTTCTATATAACCACTTTAGCTTGAAATGCACATTTCACTGTACATAATATTTCAAATTCATTACTCTTTTGCTACGAGCTATCAACAGGTTTTACTATATTGCAACAAATATAGTATACAACTGACTAAATGAAACAGGAGTTATATTTTCAGAGATATTCCAGGTAATAAGCAGCCGCTAACTTGTAGGAGAGACCCAGGTTTGGCCAGAATAAGTCATGGATAAAGAAAGGAGGTCCATCTGATGTCAGCTAGGAATTTGCACAGAATGCATTAGAAATTCAGAAGACACTATATACTTACTATACTTGCTTTTCAGGAAGGTAAATTTCATTAACCCCTCAGCTACAGTCATTTTGCACAGCCAGGGATTCAGCAGGTCCACTGTCAGTTGAATTATGTGCATTTTCCTTTCATTTCAATGAAACCTTTCACAGAACTTTTGGAACGAAAGCTCTCAGTAATACAATTTACAATCTACACTGTTGAAATGTAATCAAATGCAGATAGTTATTACAATGATTATTATAATACAATAAAGAAAACACCAACATTTTCCAGAAAGAATAAATAGCACTTGAAAAGCCCAGCAAAGTGTTACTTACATTCAAATAAATGATCTCTTTAGGTAAAAAAAATCTGGGTCAGGGTCACAAAAATGTCTGGCGTTAAAAAGTAAATGGGCTTATATAGCACTTTTCTGTGCTCTGAAGTGCACTCAAAGGGCTTTACACTATTTGCCCAGTCACCCACTCACTAGGGTGTTAAGGTTTATTCATGGTAAAATGAAAAAACTATCAGCTTAAACAATGTAACTTCATTTGATTTGTGCTGAAAACTGAACCTGAGTCTTGACAGTTCAAAGCAAATATGCACCCACTTTTACCATCCTTCACTTTTTCAGTGCTAGTAATAGAATTTTACTGCCTCCTTCACATACTTATTTTTTCTAAGAAAATGCATTGATTCACTTTTTGTACACCACTTACATATTTGCATTTTATTATGCAAAATGTTATGATACCATCTTGAGCTATTAGCATCATTATCCCATTACCATGCTGTGGAAAACTGAAATAAGTAACAGAACACATTTGTCACTTTAACTAAATTAAGTTGTGGCAATTAATGCTACAAAGCATTAATACAATTATTTCTATGAAATTACTTTTCCCACTTCCGTTTGTTTGGTGAGCTGTGTTTGTTCTGATGTGTGTGTGTGTAACACAGAAGAAGAAGAAGCTTTATTTTACTGTCATTGTGACATGTACAACGGACATTTTGTTTGGAGCCAAGGGGCCTATAAGTATGTTCCCAGGACTATGGGGCCCCCTGAATGAATGTTACTCTGGGCACCCCATGATTATTGAGTTAGATTTAATCAGTGTTTTTTGTCAAAAAAAAAAATTATGTTTAATAAATTGAATGTATTCTCTCTTTGAATACAGAAGTTGAAATCAACCATTTCTCTGCAGTTTTTTCTGGGTTCTCTTTGCTTTTATCCAGAGTACTCTTCTATGGTTCTGCAAACCAAATAGCATAATGTCTAAATCAAGACAAGCTGGCAGTGAATCAGTTTGCTTTGCCAGCTGTTGTTTGCTCCCAAGCCAGCACACCCACAACAAATGAACCTAAGCAAAACAAACAAACAAAAACATTACTCTTCTATTTCATCTGGTGCACTTCCTGTCTTGGACTTTTATTTTCTTAGACATCTGCCCTGTTGTTCATTCCTGTTTCCAGCCAGTTCCCATTACTCACACCTGTTGCCATCAGTGTAATCATCTCACATTCAGGTTTTTGCTAGTTCATCTGAATACCTCACCTGACACTCCTCTGCACTGGCTCCTGTCATTGGTTTTCGTCGTGCACTCTGCCCTGCTTCTCCCTCAAGTGGTTTATGGACCATTTGTTTCTGGTAACCTGGCTCGTTGTTTCCTTTTACTTGTTTGCTTGTGTTTTGCCCTCATTTTCTGTATAGTAGCATGCTTGTGTCATGCCTTCACTCTGATTGGGTGGTTCTTAGGTGTAGTTCATTATTTCCTTTGCTCGAGGTTTCCATCTGCTTTGTGTTCTATGTGGCTTTGTCATGATTTTGCAATAAAGGACTCCAATGCAATAGTGACTATACAATATTTAATATAAGCAAAGTGCAAAACAACCTGACTGTTTCTGGGAGATGTGTCCTGGACTACTTCCTGCACGGTGATGAAATAGTCCTGAACGGAGCTAGTTGTACCTCAGTCAGTCTGCTGTTTTAATGTTGTTAGTATAAAGTGGGTTGTATCTATGTGCTGCAACCAAAAACATAATGAAAATTAACCAAACTGTAAAAGTGAAAACATGGAGCTTAAGGATACTCTAAAGCTCAGTAGAGCAGAGGAGAGGGAAACTTCAGATTTGAGTGATAACTAATTCTTCGAGTTCGTCACTGAGTAATTTGAACCACTGGTATAAAAATATTGGCTAACAGCCACTTGAACTCCAGTTAGACTCACTTTAGCCATTTCTTTTGCACCTTGTGAGTAGTTAGCAAAATTTTTAGGTACTAAAAATAAAGTAAGAATGCTCCAAAAAGTTTTTATTTATCAAAGGACTTCATTGAAAGCAGTGTAAACTTAAAAAACTAATAATAATAATAATCAATCTAATATATAGTTAACTAGTTAAACAGGGAGTCACACTGAGATCAAGTTCTCTTTTTCAAAAGATCCCTGTGAATAATTTACATGAATAGACAAATTACATCCCACACTTTCAACCCAAGACAACTCTCACACACATACAGAAACATTTATTAAAACAATCACATGTATTTTTAAAAATTTTGGCTTGTAAAATTTTAATGGCCCTCGGACAAATGAGTTGCATAGCGCTGGAAATCAGTGTTTCCTAATTCATTGTTTGTCTGAGGCAGTTTTCAAGCTAGCTTCTCCTTTTGATCTGGTGTCATGAACCCTGAGCACAACTAAGAATATTAGCTATCTTGGCAGTTTGTATAGCAAGGTCCTATAGTTGGTGTGTTGATGGCTTCTAGATGCCAGTGATGACCACTCAGCCTTTTCATATAACTCACAGTGGCTATCTTGTGTGATAAGTTGAATGGCGCTATGGTAGAGGTGGCAGCTTGCGTATACAGAATGTAGACAGTATCGTGGACTGTATGATGTTTATTTTTCAGCTTTCACAGGAGAAACAGCTTCTGTTTTGGTATAAAAAGTAAATGTTTACTTTCTGAGTAAGATGTTCAACATGAGTTTTATAGGGCGGTCTACTATCTAACAAGATTCATAAATATTTGTAATGCTGAACTGTGTCAATTCCGTCTCCACTTAGTGTATGAACTGAATTGGTAACATCAGTGATTTGAGCCCTAGTGTGACAATCAAGTCTTATACACTTGGCAGGTAGGTTGTTCCAAGGGTCTCCTTGCCACAATTCTTCTGTAGATTTTGGTTCAGTTTCTTCTGTCATGTATTAAATTGCAGAATGATTCCAGGATGCTGAGATCATCCCTCTGTGTGGTTCAGGCTATCTGTTGCAGGACTCCTTGTTATTGTTGTTGCTGAGCTCTTTGTGACCCTGGCTTTGCTCCGAGAGTCCTTGTCATGATGCAGAATGAATTTTGGATTGTTCAGACACTGCCCTGATGCTCCTGCATGATGGATAAAGTGCCTATAATATGCACATAGTACTGTGTTTTTACTTTCAGCAATCAATCAGGGAAGTCAGCCCATGTTCAAAACTAGACATTTTCTTGACAAGTTCTATCCCCTCCCACCTCCTGAGGATGTGGAGAGTGGGTACTCCCCAAAAAAAAATAATAAAAATGGACGAGAGACAGGGACAGAATGATGATAGTAGTTGAAAATGACAGAACCTTGTATACAATCTGTTACAGTATATCATGTGCTCTGAAAGCAGGAAGCACCTTTATCAAATGGGAAGTATTGTTTTCCAATAGCAAGTAGGTATCTTTTTTATCTTTGACTAGTTCTTTTCTTAGACAAAGGTGCCAAAGCTGCAGCTGCAGAGATATGTTCTGCATTGTCTAGGGAGTTTGTTATTCTTCAAACAATCCCAAACAATCCCAGCCACCCCCAAGTCTGTCTACTTCAGACTAAATTGACCTTTGTACCTTTCTGAGGCCCAGACCTGTGTTTTTCTAAACCTGATGCCCCTGGGTTATTTTACTTGGGCTCTGAATGCTTAAAAGAAGGATGATTATATTTGGGTAATACACAATTTAACGTAACCAAATACATCTAAATTATGTATGTGTGGCATTTCTTTTGGTCCATATGAAAGCTTTGTGATCCATCTGGGTTGCTGGGGGCAGGGGCCTTCAACGGTACTGTTTTGTTTTGCCTCTCCAAATAAAACAGGCACTCTGTGAAGGGAATACAGGCAAATGCTGAGATGATAAACACAGCAGTAGGATGCAGGGGCACACATTGCAGTCAGGTCAGCATGGGTCTGTGGAAGAGTAGAAAGGAAAGGGGGAGTTTGGCTGCTTCAAGGGGAGCAAACAAAACATAATAAGGAAGAGGGAGAGAGAAAAAATGCTGGATGATTTTATTTTTTTTTTGTAAGGAATAAGGGGTCAAGTTTTTCCCCCCACAAAGACTTGGTGAAAAACATACACACACAGAGACGGACATTCAAACCAGGCGCTCTGATGTCTACAGCTGGTTCTCATTCAGCACAGTCAAAGAAAAGCAACATCCTGTCTCTAATGTAAAACTGATAAAAGTCTGCCCCAGTTGGTATGACACTCTTGCAGCCGGTTCATTGGGGAACATATAAGACACAATTCTCAGCAAATCACTCATTTGTCTACGGTATTTATTGATCACAAAAATCTCAGCTTGACGTAAACAGTTTGTAAATATTGAGTCTACAGTCCTTGTGGTGAGTTTAGTCTCAGTTCTAGCAAATGAGCAGCTGTGTTAGGTTGACACGAATGACTCAGGACAGGTCACACACTGTACTTCCACAGCTTCCAGCTCTCGCTTTTAAAGTAGCCTGTGTACAAAAGCAGTCATTACTGCATCTGTGCACAACACGAACAGCAGCAACTCTAATAAATACATAAAGCATGCACTCCTGAAACAGGACGAATCATTAAGCATTATGCATAAAAATAAATAAATAAATACAAATATCCTTTGCAATTAGTCTGCATTTCATCATGGGGGTTATCCAACAAATGTTTCATCTTCTGTCTCTTTTATGTTTTTTGCCTCAGTCCCAGCAGGGCTGAGCTCACCTCATGCCGGGAGTAAATGAAAGCTAAATGATCTCAGGGCTCCTAAAGGAAAGATACCATTAGAGATTGCTGCAGAGACAAGAGACAGAGATGCCTGGTTCCGACTTGGCAGAGAAAAGCAACAGATGTCATTATGGCTCTGCCAGAGGATGGCATCCCCCTATGAGTGTGCAGAGTGGCTGAGGCTTTGTATCTAATGGTGTAGAAAAAAAATCCCCAAGAGTGCAATGAAGAAGCCTGTTAAGAGAGTTTCTGCATGTTACTTCTCACTTTGGTCTCAGTATGACTTCAGTTTGTGTCTACCCAGTTAATCCCTCTTCAGACTGCAAAACATCTGGCAGATTCTGAATGTGTTTGTTCTCAGGAAGTATAACTATACAAGTGTCCCTGATGTGGCTCCAAGATTATTATTTGAAATGTCCACCATGAGTAAACAACAGGGGGAAATGACACCATTCAGTCAAAACGTAGCACTGATTTTCTGTTTTCTTTGAGGTTAACAAAGAAGATATACATTTTTCTACAAAACCAAATAAGGACACTCCAGTTTTCCACGCATGAAACATTTTGAAGAGAAATCTCCCATTAATTCAAGCCATCTGAGTGTGCAATATGCAAAAAAAGTGTGCAATGTGCGCAAATGCATCTTCCTGTAACCTTTACTCTCATTTAATTAAACATGTACCTGGGAGACTCATGCCTCTTTTTATTATGCATTTAGACATTTCAACAGACATTTCTTCTTTTACAGTGCAACACCAATTACAGCCCAGCTTATTCAGATCTGCCAAATCCCCCAACACAACTCAGATGGAAATCTGGGTATATCTCCTCGTTTGCTCCAGATCCTCATGGTGCACAGATTGTACTCTGAAAGCTATTTTCATTTTTCACAGATGGAAGTTGAATCATAGTGTTAGGAGGAATACAAATGTATGAAAAGTCTTCTGTTTCTCCCCATGCCCCTATGCACCATTACAACCCTCAACTTGGATACTGTATATAATTCCATCAGTGATGTTTAAGTCTGTGCCATACTCAGCCCATCATGGCACAGTGATTTGCATATTCTATCAGACACTTCTCTCTTGATCAGATTGCTTTCCTGTCCACCACAAATGTTGCATCAGACTGCATTTTAACCAGTGATTTGCCTATGCAGGCACATTTCCCTTTGGGGATTTTACAGTGATTGGCCTATTCTATTTTGCAGTTAAGAAAAAAAAAACACAGTTCTTTGTGTCTTCCCCTTTGACCTCTGTTTCACTTCTGGGAGCCATTATGAGGTGGATAATGAGAAAAACTATCCTGTGTATTCTTCTTCTCCTACAGGAATGACATTAATTTACTTTGCATAGAAGCTTGGGAAATTAAGCCAACCCCCCCATTGTTTTCCTTCTTTCTATTCTGCAAAAATCTGTTTTTTTCTCTTTGCTCCTGGGCCTTAAACTGTCACCCCAATGTATTTGTCTTATTGAAACCAGGCCTGACCCTACTGTGCAGCTACAATGGATCTAGTTTCAACATCATTTCTTTAAGTTATTCCACTGAAAGCTAATAACAGTTGGTTTCCACAGGGAAGGCTTTCGAGATAACCTATATTAGGCTGAAGTTCCACACCAGTCGACCAGAGAGCTTCGCCATCTACAAGCGTACAGAGGAGGATGGGCCCTGGCTGCCTTACCAGTATTACAGCGCCTCTTGTAGAAAGACCTATGGGAAGGAGGCTAGGGGCTTCCTTCGCTCAGGAGATGATGAAACGACCGCTTTATGTACAGATGAGTTCAGTGATATCTCCCCCCTCACTGGAGGAAATGTGGCTTTCTCCACCCTGGAGGGACGGCCCAGTGCATACAACTTCGATCAAAGCATGGTCTTGCAGGTGAGACTGCATTTTTTCAGAATATTTTGTGAATATGTGACTAATTTGTTCAAATATTTTGGTTAGCATGATTATTACTGGCTCAACTTTCATCTGTTACCACTCAGTGATTTTGCAACAAAGATCGGCTAACTAGAAACACAAGAAAAATGACAACAAACTAAAACACACAGTCTAATAGTGCAGATTCTGTCTGTAGAAAATGAAGGTTACAAAACACTTAGATGTTATACTAAATGACATAAAAAAGCATTTGTTTTCCTCTTGTTAATGCCTATTTACTTTTTAGTGCAATACACTTCAAATGTCTCAGATTGATAATGTGAACAACTTTATTCAGAAAAGGGTTGTTTACCTCTGGACACATGAGCTGCTCTCATTGTAATGCTGCTATGTAGTTTAATTTTATCAATTCATGTGTTGCGCCCACTCACCACCTTAAGGGTAGATTGGATTATCAAAACCCCTCCACTCCCCAGTGCTTTTATAGAAACAAACATGACATATTTATACACATACATATACGTGTATAACTTCGGTATGTATATCTTCATGCATTCAAGCCTTTTTCGAAGCTGCTGAAGGGAAATCTGTTGATTAGCATTGATGAAGCCTTAAGTGGGCTGTGCTGAATTAATTAATGGCTGCCTCTTGAGGGAAAGTCTGGGAGGAGCAGACACAGTAAGGCATGGCTAAAGTTTTAGTAAATAAAACACTTAGTTTACTTACACTTAATGCAGCCGCTCCTTTCCGTTGGGCTCAGTGTGCAAGTGCATGCATCCATCTGTCCATGCATGTGCTCTCATTGTTACTTAAGCTGCAAAACATTTGGAATCTCCTCTCATTATTGATTACTGAGCATCTTCCCCGTCATGTGTCTATATCAGCAGCTGTATCCGCCATTAGAGGGTGTAAGTACAGTACGCAGCAGTATTTCCTGGTCTCAGCCTTGCTTACAGTAACTTGTAATGCACTGAACTACTCAGTGCATGTAACACATTAAATGAGTTAGTCAGTTCCAGCACAGATCCCACAGAACCATCTGTAGATATGTCATCATAGTACATCCATTAATAACACCTCAATTTGTGAACAGAAGAAATGTGTGTATATGTGGCCAGAAACTATTGATCATGAAAGGAAGTTATGACTGTAGTTACAGCAGCTTCTCTGTCACATACATCGTGCATAAATCTACACCAGTATTTAACTGTGATAATATTGTTGATATTTTTGTTTAAAATAATCTCTATGAGACAGATAAATAATGGACCCTTGGATTTTATTTTACCTTCTTCTTCTGTAGTTAAGGCAGACGGTGGGCATACCAAGTGCACGACTTGGACACCAGAGTCCAGGGTTTCTTTTCTGGGTCTTGACAGTGAATAAATTTACACAACAAAGTCACTTTAGGTTCTGTAACATTCTCCAGCTTGGTAGATACGTATGTTCATTGAAAGCATTTTTTTTTCTTGCTTAGAGAAATGTAATTCATATGGTGTCATTTATCTAAAAATATTTACTGTTGCAAATTAGTAGTATGAATATAAATAGACAAGGTTGCAACAGCTCCTTGCTTAGGAGAAGGAGATGTAATAATACAACAAGTCTTTAATAGCACGCTGACTGAAGAAGCCACAAACATATGACCCCAGCAGGAGTGACATGACAAATAATCCTCATTCAAAATGTATTTTATTGATTATTAGTACAAGTTCCTGACCACCTTCATAATCTGATTCACAGGATGTGCACAACATAAGCAACCCGCTGGCCAAGTGTTTCCATTCTGCATTCTTCTTTGTTCTGACAGTCCCTTATTCTTTCTGCGTGCTGCTATTTTTATTCTCTGTCTCTGCAACAACGGCAACAACAAACATGCCTACCTTGTAGTGGACATGCATCTTCAACAATAATCTTCAATTTAATCCAGAGGGAGGGTTGTGTCTCCGTGATCGACCCACCATTGTGCCCCCCTCCTGCCATGAGCAACATACTCCTCAAGACAGTTATAATAATAATACATTCTTTTGTTTGACTTTTCTCCTAAAATGCATTCTGGGAATACATAGGTCCTCCACGTCATTAAATAAGAAGAGTAAGGGTGTCTTCTCAAGGATGTGTGGAGGATATACAGTGCATAATCATAACCTTCTCCCATGTTCCACAACTTAATAAAATAAGAATGACAGCATTTTTAGAGAATATATGATGTTATATTAGCTTTTTTACTCTATAAGACTTTAAATCAATGTAAAAGCAATTCAGCTCTAACAAACCTGAATCTCAATATTTTCCCCAGATCTCTGTTGATGTTTTGAAACTCGAGTGTTTTAAGACCAGTGTAGAAAAACGGCTTTCGGCATTTGCATAGTGTTTGAATCCTCCCCTGAACAAAATATTTTTAATTTGAGTAAATAAAATAAAAGTTTTGTAAAGGTTAGATTTACTTTTTTGACATTATGAAGAAAAATAATTAAAATCTTCCAAACATGACCTACAGAAATACAGAGCACATTGGTTGATTCTAATAGTTTGTAAATGATAAAGGTTTATTGTGACACTATCAATGAGAAGAGAAATCTGCATGCAGGACTGGATTTGGCTCCTGATCCTAAAGTCCAGAAATCCCACTGTCTTGCAAGGACAACAGGAAAGTACAATGAATGAAAAACCATATTTCTGCGGTTTAGCAACAGCCACTTCGTACAATCTCAGTAAACACGTCTCTATAACAAGCACAAGGCATTTTTACTCTTCACCCCATTATTCTCTGATTCATTAGTTTTCTTCCTGCTCAGTGTGTTTTACTTTGCTTCACCTCCTGTGCTTGTAGTTCTACTTTTTTTTGCATGAGAGCAGATTTAAAGTGCTTACAAGAAAAAGGCAGCTGCAGCCTGGTTTTCTAGTTCAGAGATTATTAAACAGTTCTTTTCTGATTAATCCCTTCACCCTAGCCTTCTACCACTGTGCTATTTCAGCCTCTCCATCTATCTGTTATATAATTATGGGCTCTGGCAGGCTGGGACAATAACTAGCTAGAGTTTAGGTTTGTAGGACAGACTGGATTCAGCCCGGTTTTCTGAAATTTTGTGAAGTGAGCACTCTGACTTTAGTTGAAAATGCATGCTCAGAAACAAGTAGTGAAACAAAGAAAGAGCATTGTGGTCAGGGTGGTGAACACTTGTCTTACTTTCTAATGATCTGGGCTCAGTAATAAATCATGGAAGAAAAAAGAAAAGAAAGTGCAACTTTATTGAATTTTATCTATTTATTGAATTTGCCAAAACTTTAACTAGACTGAATTGGCCATAAACCCCTTTCACAGCTTCCACACTGTGAAAGAGGAACAGCAACAGGCAACTTTATTTTGGCGTCTGTTCCTCTCTGATCACTCCAGCTGTTCTGCATATACAGAACCATTGTAACTAGCTGGACAGAAAAATCAATCGATTTAACGGTTTAGTCAGTGTGTGGGACAAGCTCACTAGTTAGGTTTACATGCATATTTTAGTTAGTACTCATTTATGGTATTATACAACCTTGTAAGGTGGAAGATTTGCCTCTCTGGTCGGCATCCTGCTTTATCATCTATGCTATATTTTACTTCCCAAAAAGAAATAAAATACAATTACATAAATTATTAACAAACTGCTGAATGTTTTTTCTGTGTGCAATGAAATTAAGATCACTATCTGAACTCCCTGTCAACTTAATTTCATGTGAAAGCTGCTGTTGCACATTAAATAATGTATGTAGATAAAAGAATTTAATTTTTGAACACCAGAAAAATTATATTACTTGTACAGGATGAAATACATTTTAGTCATGTTGATGTTTATTGCATCAGATTTAAGTACTACAGTAATAAAGATTAATATAGCTAACATTATAATGACTGAAAATAGAAATTATAATTGCTGAATACATTATTATTGAATTAATAACAGTTTAGGTTAGCAATGCAAAAGTGCATTTTACACAAACATAAATTAGCTGTTAAGCAGGTTTATGTATAATGTTGCTTTAATTACATACTGTAAAATAATCATGTCTGGTGTTAAATGAACCTCAGTACTAATGGTGTTGTTGGCTGTATTTTAGCATGCTTTGGATGACACTGACCCGCTGATTATAAAGCTGTGCCAGATCAATGTAAACCAAGAATACATAGATTAGGTGGCAAATCTTTCCACAGACCTGCCACACATCAGCTCTCCTTCACTCCACTGCCTCCTCTTAAAAATCAAGATGAGAAGACTTATAATTAACTGTGATCTGTTCTCCCATTAGAATAAAGGGTGGATCAATTGCACCATTTCTTTCATTAAATCTCTTATTCCCTCTCTATTTTAAGGATGAGAGAACAGATGGGTGCAGTGAGCAGACACAAAAACACATCAGCCACCCTCTCTGATGCAAAAACAAAGCCGGCGGAAAGCAAAACCTCTTCTTTTCAACACTGTGAATCATCAAAATAAAGACGAGGCATACTCTTCTTTAATGGTGACATACTGGTTCCAATTTGTGCTACAAATACTAGAAAAACAAAAAGGAAAAAAGGCAACTCAATACAGAGGATGGGGGCTGTGAGCAGCATGTAAAACTATCATTCCCACAACAGCACTATTATTGAATATGAGATTAAGGCCATAAAAGGAGGTTGATGGTGGCAAAAGGGAGGGAAATACACACACGCTATTTGTTTTAAACAACCTCTTATGCAAATTCAAAAAGCTTTTCTTACTCCTGTACTATAAATAGTGAATAGTCTTTACTTCATTTTGCCAAGGATAATCCTCTCAGTATCAATATTGCTTTCCAGAGGGTTCTGATACAATATGTTAGAACAAACAACAAAGCAATAAGATATGTGAAACAATCAAATGGTACACTCTGTGGATGAAGTATACTTGTGCATATGGGGAAAAGTATTATTATTATTCACTGCTCCAATGCAAGTGAGAAAGAATAAATGAACTTATGCCATTTGTCTTTTG